GAGGGAAGAATGTGCGTACAGTATTGACATATTGATCACATTTTCATAATGAAAATAGTGCTCTTAATGTATTTTACTCCATGTCATCGTGGGCAATCTTTTTGTTGTCATCAAAAAGTCTTCTCTGGTTATAATAACGTAAGGAAATTTAGATTATTCTTCCTGAATTTATCACGTTCATTTTATTCTACAACGTGGGATATTTATACAGATAATGGACTCCTAGAACTACCCGATGGATCTGCAAAATAAAGTAATTGCAATGAGTGACAATTACATTTGATTGTTCAAACTATAGTAACAATCTTTGAAAAGAAATACTTCAGAATCACTGCTTGCTTTATGAAATTAAAATAAAGAATTACAAGTAGTACTTTCGGAAATCGGGTGAAGGGATGACGAAATTTACAATGCGAAAGTAAAAAGATTCAGGAATCAGAAAAGTCCTATACTGATCTATTCGAATTAATATATCGTGTATGTATACTCTAAAATTTAAAATAGGTATAAGACAGATAAAACTGGTTATGAATGTGGGGAGAAGAGAGGCATACAAAAAAGAGGCCTTTTTCAGTCAGTCGGATAATCTGCTTATTCAAAATGTGTTTTGATATAAAGTTTAATATTTTATACTTAAAATATAATGAATAATTGATACGTGAATAAATGAAATGTCAATATTTTTTTAATTAACAATTAAATATCAGTATATTTTACATCTAAATCTAACATCTACCTATGGAAAATTGTTAGGTAATTAAGTAGCAATATTGAGATGTTTGCGTGTGGTCTCGACGTAGAATGGGCTACTCCTTTCTTTTCCGTGGGTGATGTAAGAGGCGACTAAGGGTACTTAATGATCGTAGGATAGACAGCAGCGTTCCTCAAATCCTAGCTACGGTTTCCAAGCCGGCTGTCTACCGAGGTTATGTTCAGCAGTGGACAGTTAATGGCTGATATAAATGGAGATGTAACATGTTTATAAGATAATGGTATATATATATATATATATATATATATATATATATATATATATATATATATATATATATATATATAATATATAACAGCACAATTTATTATTTTTATATAGGTATAGAATTTTTTCATATTTTTTAAACATCTGTCAATACATTGATTTATTTCGGTAAGTATTTACTCACACTCAGAATTATTGTTATTATATATGTAACACGAGTCAACCATTCAATGAAATAAAAGGAAAAAAAAGAGTAGCATAACAAACTAATCTAAACATTTTTTGTTACCTACCGCACTGCCCAATCCGGTCTTCCTCCCTACTCTTTGACGGAATACGAGCAAAAAACATGAGCCAGTCAAAGTACCAAATTGCACACACACATGCATACTATGTAAGTCAAGAGCAAGAGAGTAAGGTCATGGTTACTCTTTTGGCATGTTGTTTCGGCCGTTTTCGTTTTCGTTCGTTGCGCCCGCGCACGTTTTGTGATTTATTCCTTTTTTAAAACCACCGATGTTTTATTAGTTTCTTTTTTATTCAAAGTTAAAGTAACACGTTATAGGTAGGTACTGTACCTATGTAGGTAATTCTTATTCACCAAACATATTTTAAGTAATTATACCTAAGCTTTAGCGTTGTAGAATAACGATCTATTTGCAATATAACTACATAAATTGCAGATCCGTCATTATTCTATATTAACGAATTAATTTTATTTATGTATTAGAAATGTATAAAAAGAAGTAATTACTAGACATTTGAGTTATTTTCTGCGACGTTATGTGTTAGAAAATTGAATTAATATCCAAATTGAATTTAGATACGATAATAGATAATAATTTATAATAATAATTAATTTTATTGTTGCAAGCGTTGCAATAAATATCGTACGTAATTTTTTGATAACTTTTACAAATTTATTATTTTTATTAGTTTTACTAGTGGATATTAGTTTAGAGTTTGCTGAAAAACTAATAATTTTTATTTGGGACTTTTGTGGTCCATTAAATATTTATTAATAACAATATTCTTAAAACTATGACGTATGAAATACGTGAATAAAATGAATTTGCTGAAAATAAATAAAACCAACAGACTAACGTACAATCGAACTGTATCGCATTGTAGGGTTTATTTTTTTAAATTTTCAGTATATTTACCGTATAAAGTGGTCAAGTGAGTATATAATTATGTACCTATATAAATTTCCGTTCCAACATTATTTCCTCTATATAGGTAGATAAGTTTTATCTGTAATCATGGACAAACTTTTAAAAGCCATGCAATTTTTTTGTAAATGTTATAATGATGTAGTTAATTTTGCGTGCACTCGTTAGTAAGTATATAACTATATCTATCTATCTAGATATCAAAATCTATAAACATTTCAGTTAATTAGTTTGAATTTTTATCACAATTTTCGCCCATTTATCTATAAAATAGGGGGGTGAAACTGCATGAAATAAGAAGGTAAGTAGAGTAATTATATTTTTTGATTAAATTAACTGTTGACATGCAATCTACCAACACATAAATACCTAATTGTTTTTATAACAATAATTTGTTAAATAATAACTGACTTGAAAGTAATTGTGTTTTGTTTTTTGGAATTAATACTTTAAGTACCTATTCGTTTACATACCTACCTGTCTTAAAATAGGTCTATATTCTTAACGCCTCTCAATTAAACTAGAATATTTTATGAGAATAGTAAGTTTACCAGAGGGAGATTTTGTACAAAAGTTGTTTGTTTGGGCATTTTTGTCTCATTCGTGTTTCTACCGTAAAGCAGTTATGTTTGCATGGCTGTGTTTGCACGGTTTAATGGGTGGGATATGACAGTGAATTTACAGGGTACAGAGGAATAACACCTGAGTCCTCAGGAATGGCAACACATGGGAGATATTATAGGCGAAACAGTATATTCTATTATGTCCATGGTATTGCTCATGTCTATAGGCGACGATTGCCTCTTTCCATCAGGTGGGCCGTCAGCTTGTTTGCCATTCTAAGTTGCATAAAGCTAACGGATCACTTGATGGACAGTGATAACCGTCGCTTGTAAACATAAACAGCAGCACAGATAACATATACCTACTATGTACTATATTAGTATCAACACTAACTAGACTTGATGTTATTAAAAAAAAAGTATATCTGCTTAATGTGCATTAATAGCACTCAAAAAATTATAGTCTCAATGCCTTCACAAGAAAAAATGGCTAAATTGGTTTCGAACGGGTTCCACTTTTTTACCATTTTGGTTCTCCATGAAAGCCATATTGAATTTTATGTTTTTTTTTTTTTTATTTTAAATCTACGTCCTTGAGACCAAGTGGCATGCGCTGCAGGCTAAACGTTCGAAAAATGCTTTACCAAAACCGAAATTATTTATTGAAATAAGTGTTATTTGCGGTTTCTGTTTGTGCTACTGTTGGCCCACTGTTCTCGTTTTATGAAATATTTTATTCATTTCTTTTTTGAACAAGAGGTGACATTTGGTTGATGTGCGTAAAATTATCAGTTGTTTCGTTGTGTATTATTATTTCTTTTAATTTTGCGCCGCTACAATGTCGGCCTATATTATTTTTCCTGCTTATATAGGTCATTAGACTTATTTAAGTATCTCCTAATAGCAGTGTATTCTATGAACTTTTGTAGTTCATAATAAAATTTTGAACAAAAATTAAGTTAAAAATTAACCCTTTAGGATGACGGTAGGTGCATAATAATAATAAATGTTGAGTATGTGACGTACCTTTATAATTTTATTGACAGAGTAACGTAATTTCACTTTTACAGAAATAATAATAATATCCTACTATATTAGATCATCCCTTCCTTTCCCGTGGGTGTCGTAAGAGGCGACTAAGGGAGGGGAAGGGATGGGCAGTAGCGTCCCTCTTTTGCCATTCTATGTTGTATAAAAAAATCTCTAAATGCCTATCTGCGGTTGCTAAACCACCTGCAAAACGTGGCAACTACTAGCAAAACCTCCCTTATGAGAAAGGCTTAATTCCAGCAGTGGACTGTTAACGGCTGAAATAATAATATTAGGTATAATAATTTTATCTAAATTGTCTACTTATTTAGATCATTAAAAGAATTCTCTAGCTTTGAATAAAGTCTAAAAAAATCTATCTTTTTATTAAATGTCACGTATTATTAGTTTTAAGGGTGACAAATACTCGTTTTAAATTATGTACTAAGTCTTATTGGTTTATTCAACACAATCTGAGATTGAACTAAAGTGTGGAATCTGTAATAATCTTTTGTAATTGTATTTGTTTGTATCTATAATAAGTTTACTATTGCAATTTTTTGGACAAAATAATAAAGAATATCTATCTATCTGTTTAAAGTTATATTAGGAAGTCAATTACCACCCTTTCTCATGAAAAATTGTTGCAAATTTTGCTTTAGAATAATGGAGGAGGATACATTTTGTTTGATTTAAAGTGCACTATAGAAATTACAGAATTACTATACCATCCATTTTGGCGCTCTCTAAAGATTTTTACTTTGCATATTCTGAAATTTAAGACATTATATATGTACTTGCATGTCTCTTGTGATTGCACTAGCATTTTTGTCTTTAAGATTGAAATCACAATGCATATATTGCTGTTTAACGGCAGAAAAAAGAGTGTGACTATCCTACAAGACAATATTTAACCGCCAATTGCTCCTGAGTTGCCATTCCAGAAAAAAGACAAAAAAGCTATACAAAGCACAGAAAAAATCCTAGTTTTTAATTTATTCCAAATACAAAGAAACTAAAAATGAAGTAGTTAATTTTAATATAAACTCTTAATATATTGATGTAAAAATTATTACTTTATGTATCTTATAATAGTTAACTATTTTATAAATATCAGGAGTTATATGCGGTTAAATCTCAAAGTTTGTCACACAAAATTTAACGAAGCATTCACATTAAGCTGTTTTGTGTATATAAACGTACAATATAGTGTAGGGCAAAATTTTGAATATATAAAAGAAAATAAAACAAAATAACTTCAACAAATGAAAGAAATTTATTGTATACAGGTTTTAAATATCCTTGCACATTCTTACACCTGCCTCACCAGCCACATCATTAAGATATTTAACGTAAGATATAAAGATCTTATAGATAAAGGACATTACATATGAAAAAAAAATCACTTCAAATAATTTTAAAGTTACAGTATACGTAAGAAACAGTTTTCTTTTTACAAACATTGTCTACAATTCCACGATTTCAAATCAACTTTTTACGTCGCCTTGCGACTATTTTGGACGTTATTTTTCAACTTTTTATCAAAAAGTCAGTCGAAATGCTAAGCTTTTCAAAATTTTCCTCTCTAAAAATTTGACTAGATTTAATATAACAGCGGCATGCCAATCGCGTTTTTAGCCAATCTACAGTTTTTACAAAACATATTTTTTTATCTGAGCAACGTTACTATAGAACAATAATAAATCTATAAACATCACTTTTTACTGAGGAAGTGAAAAATATATAATATAATAATAATTATAATTTATTAATAAAAAATAATTATTAATGAGTTGCTAATATTAAAGCAAAACCTTCTATTTATTTGTTATGAAAGTTAAACAATGATAATAATAAAAACTAAAGGAACAAAATAACAAAAATAATAGAGGCGAGTAAGGTAAATATTGAAAAAAATATTTCATTAAAACTTGTACTCAATAATTAAATAACAATATTATAATTTGATCTTGTTAGCTCTTTTAGCCGTATATATTAAAAAAAAGTGAGCCATTATTTAGGAAATAACAGTGTCTATATGATACATTGGTCCATACCTGATTACAAATTTAGTTTCCAATCACTTAATTTCGTCGCTATGACGTCGCAAAGAAACCTTCTCAATAAGAAGAAATGACCCTCAGCATTGTGATGTAATATGTTTAAAAGCGTCACATTTTTAATAAATATCGTGAAATAATATAAATTGAATTTACACTATGCCTTTTTTTATAAAGATAACATTATATTTAATATGTCTAAAATTAAATGCTTCATGTTGTACATATTTTTTTTTACAAAAAAAAAACGAACACCCAAGAACTTTATCTCGATATCCTATTCCACGATAATTCTAAATGGTCAATAATAATAAGTCAATTATTGTAATAATAGTACAATAATATCTTTTTTAAATTAATATTCTAGAAATACATATATAGATGTAAAGGAAAACAATCAGTGACAATAAAGGTGAAACTTACATTTAAGTAGGTATACTTACACAAATTTGTGGCCGTTTTCTAATAAACAGTAAGTAAGTACGCTAGGAACGTAATTTTACTGTGACAATCGTGGTCAATATTAAAAACGTAAACATGATAGCGTCTTATTCCTATATGTGTGTCGGAAAACGGCCTCGTACAGTCAAATTCAGAAATATAGTTATCAATTTGACGTTTTGTCACATTCTATTTCACTGGACACTTGAGCCAGTCAAGGGGAATGATGTAAAAGTGAATGTAACACATAGCTTATTACTAAATTCGACTGTACCATAAAGTATACAGCCACATAAATTAACAACTGCTTTTCACGAATGAAGATAATTAGATCTAGCAATGTCTTTTAAAATAAAGCCGCGAGACCCAAAAGAAAAAATAAGAAATCAAATTCTATATTCTTGCATAAAATTTGATATCTTATTTAGAATTTAATTAGTAAATTTTTCAGGCACCAAAATCCATTATTAAACTAATTATAGATTGAAGAAAAATATCTTTATGAATTTAATAATCGCTAATAAAAAAAAAATGCTAAATGTAATGATAAAGAGTACTAAAATCATAAGTGTTGCCAAAATAAAAAAAAATAGTACAGATTATTTGTAAGGCGATATTTTGTTTTTAGAATAATAACGTTAAAGGAATTATGAAACTGTATTCATAATAAGAAAAGGAAAATACATTCACAACATCTCGCGGAATCCTATTTCGTAGTTTTATTAAAAATGCAACTTCCCTTCATTGTCTTTTTGTTCCTGGACCAGTCGAGGACCGTTCAAGACTCTAACCTACCCTTACGCAGATTTTATTACATTTACGAAAAAATTAACAAAATATTAAAGAAATACTACCTGCTACCTATTAATTGAAAATTACACTACTATAATAACTAAAATTCTTAAACTATGTGGAAAAATGATTGAACAATATACAATAAAAATGATTCACTAATAAACCAGTGATCTCTTTCATACGAAAGATGTTTGATGTGTAGAGTCAGGCTCATAAAATATACACGGTTCCAATTGCCGCACTGCCTTTGTCTCAATATGGACACGTGGGATTTTGTTTATTTATATTATTTATAGACTTTAGACTCTTTAGGAGTGTTTCACAGAACGATCTAAATAGCTATTTGAATTGAGGTATAATTAATAAAGGCATTGCAACTTTTTGTTGTAAACTTTTTTTATTTTTAATGAATATCCAACACGCGTCTTTTGCCTAATAGTCCTTAAAATGACCAACTGTTCAGAAAAAAAAAATGCTTTGGATTTAGCTTTTATGTAAGAAGGTTTATTTTTACGTTACTTTGCTTCAAGTTGGTCGTTTTAATTTCGAGAGATCACTGTCAATAACATTTTAAGTGTTAAGGCGGCGTATACCATTTGTACAGATACAGACCGGCCCATTCTTGTGAGCACTCGCCTATTTTTCTACTACTTATCAGTCGCAACTCTCTTTTAAATCCGGGAATAGAACCCCAAACACTTTGCACAAAAACAATGACATGTATAACATCTCAATATAATATTATAATATATAAGGTTACTAAAATAAAGCCACTTAAAATTAACTAACGTTACAAAATAAGATTAAACAACATAATTTGTTCCCGATGTCAAAAAATATTTTATATAATAATAATAAAAAAAAACTAATAACATTCTAAACGGAATGTTCATTAATATCTAAGTTCTCTTTGCAAATTGTCCCATCCTAATATTTCTGTACAAACTTACACAAAATAACCATTTTTTAAGCTATCAACAAATGTCAGGCGTAACACACAGATTTGTGTACGTATTATAAAAAAAAAATTGTTCGATTTCTATTTTTTTTTAACTCAATCCGAAATGCGGTCTGGTGTGGGTTATATTATAGTGAACACGAGAAAAATCTCACTTAATTGTTTTTCTACGTAAAAACAAAATGGCATCGCTCAGATGAATAAATGCACATAACGATTTTAATATAAGATATTTTTATATTAAATGCTAAAAAGACATCGAAAATTATTTATAGAGAAAACATAAGTGAAAGACATGCTATCGACTAGTTCAAAATTTGGAATATAAAAATTTTATGTTTCATTTTTTTTTATATAAAGAGAACGTATTCGACATCTCGGCATTTGGGATATGTATCATGATTTGGATATAGTAAATTCTCACGAATAAAATTAACAAAATTTTAAAAAGTTTCTCTCAGTCCGTGGATTTTTAAAAAGACGTCGAAATGTCGAGTTCTATCTCTTAGGTACTATTTTGCACATTTCATGGTCTCCGAAGAAAAATGTATGACATTATTATTTATAACTTGTATAATAATATATGTATATTTTAATTACATACATAATACAAAGACTCCTTAATCTCCATGAGGCGCACATGTACACATAACTTACAATAACTATCGTACGATAATTTTATATCCAAATAGTTTTCACCTAAACTTATTTTGGGAGAGCGTATACATTTTTTTTCATCTCGTACTTCAATTATATTATACTTTTGATTGAACACCAAAAAATTTCACAAATTTGAAGATATCAATTACTTTATTTTTTTTTTTGAGGATTTTTGGGATAATTATATTTTTTTTAAAGTCGACAAGAATATAATAATGATTATTCACACTTTTGTATAGTCGATAAAACATTTAAAACTTGGACCTTGAAAAATAAGAATATATTTTCTTAGGATACATTAATACAGTACATAAAATATATATAAGTTCACTAGATGTATAACGTACGTGTATGTATAATGGTGGGGGTTGGGGCGTGTACCCCGTAGGTCTTGAAACAAACCGCACTCGCATCGTAATACCTAAATATCACATTCAGTAATATGGAAACCCACGTGTTAGCTTAGACACAGTTTAAATTACTATTTTTTTTATAGAAAATAATAATTGCACATAAGTCCTTACCGAGGCGCGAGCGGGTCGCAGTTGCAGGTCGCGGCGAACCCATCCACGCCTAGCCTGCACTTTCCATCTTTAATCTCGCGTTAGAAAAAGACGGCACAATAGCCGCACTCTACACGCAAATAGCGCTAATAATTTCATTCAATATATTATTACCTATCTAATTGTAAAAACACCGCACAAAATCTGCAATAGTTCACTTAAAAATCGATAACATTTACACTCGCATAGCTAGCTTTATATTTAATTTGTTACATTGTTTTTATTTACTTAAAATTATTTAAATATTTAATTTTTTTAACGTTTAACTTTTGGTTGTCTTTTACTTAAAACAAGGTCAAAAATCGAGGCTCTTGTGTTTTTTTTCCGGAAATTTTGTACAACCCTATCGTCGCTTTGGCATACGGTGTTATTAGTTTGACTTGCCCATTAGTATTATTAGCGTCTTTCTTTACGATTATTAGGTACTCCATAATATTAACATAAAACTTATGACAATTATCCTATACCAAATGAACAAACACCGTTGCCACGAGCGACCACATTCAAAGGATCTAGTCATCAGGGGCTTTAACTACCATATTGTGATATTGCATAAGTAAAGCTGTGGTACATTGAACTGGTTGTGACTTTTAGGTAACTATTGTGATATTTGGTGATATATAGTGTCGATGTAAGTTATATAAATCGTGTGAAAGATCTGGGCTGACCGGAAGCGGAAAGGAAACGGAAAATACTTCCTTCATAAATGTATACCAGCGTAGTGTATGAAATATGAATGTCTAAATGCGTAATGTATCCAACCCAGACTATCTGTAAAATATGAATAAAAGCCTGTTAACTAACGTTATTGTCACTACAACAGTATACACAAATAACGCGTGAGTTTTGTATGAAGAACCCTTAAATGTTCTATTGCACACTAAAAAGTTGTCAAAGTTCTGCCCCCGGCGCGCGCGCATGCGGGCCACGCCCGGCCACCACGGACATCGGGTGGCGTACAGGCCCGCTCCCAACGGAATGTACTTTACATAATATTATCACAAGACTGAGGAGATCGGAGCATCTCGACGCGGCTCAGAATCTGGGCGATAAAAAGCTAACACTAGAGTCACGTCACTGGAAAGGATGTAGCGGGAAAGCCCGCAGGCAGCACTAGGCGCGGTCGGGGGGCGCGGCTGGCGGGGGCGGGGAGGGGGCGCCCGCTGTTGGCGGAGATGCGGCACCGTTGCGCGGCTTCTGCAGCTTGTCGGCGCGTAACCGCTGCACCGCCTCTCGCATCTCCGCTGCCAGCTGTCGGTCCGAGCTGTCAATACGGGGCCTGCGAGCTGGCGGGCCTTCTTCAGCCGGCGATCCAGCCAGCCTTCGTAGCAGACTCGGCGCTTCGCTCGATGTTTGTAAAGGTGGTCGTGGCTCAGCCGTCAGCCGCTGCAATAACGCAGCACCCGGTCTTTCTAGGCTCGACCGAATAATACCTTCGAGGAACGAACCGTTAGCAGGTGGAGGCGCTTCTTCACGTAATCGCCGCATCATGTGTGATGCATATAAATCGGTCGTGGGTGGTGGTGGAAAACCAGGGTTAGGCCAAAACGGATAGCCGGTTGGGTAACCTGGAGTTTCTGGACCATTCATCCCGTTAGTAAAAGATTTTGTTGGTGGTTTGGGTGGTGGTGGTTTTGGTGGTTGCGGCTTTGCATCTTGTGGTGGTTTCGGTTCACGTTTTCTTGGTCGCATTAAATGCCGTTCTTTTACCTTGTATTCCAGTGTTGAATGTGGTACACCATAATAGGACCCGGCCCTATGTACAGACATCTCACCGCGCTGTACCGCTTTTACGGCTTCAACGAGGCTATCTCTATCATAGTTCCTATATTTTCCTCTTTTGGGTCGCGTGCCTTTACCTCCAGCTGCAGGTTGGCCATTATTATTCGTTGTTGCTCTAGAATTACTCGGTGTCGGATAATTCCTCTGATTCTCCGGTTGAGTTTTTATAACCGAAACATGTCTGTCGGGTGCTCTCATAAACGGCAGATCCGTAGTTTGAGGAGCTCTTTCGGGAAGCTGCTGGAATTTCTGACTAATGCTTCTTACTATTACGTCGTTTATGGACGTGAATAAGTGCTGGTTTGCTGGTGGGTCTGCAAAAAACGTGGGGAGGTGTGGCTGTGGGTTTATGGGTGGTTGTGGCGGTGGAATGATAGGCGTAATGGGTGTGACAGGAGTCGTCACAGGAGTGGCCGGAGAAGGACTCTTCTCATCGGGCCGATAGTTTGGTATTTTTAGGATGACAGGAGGAGATTCTGGTCTCTCAGATTCACTGTCAGGTTCGGAGTCATGTTGATCGACATTGAGTCCGTATTTATTAACTTTGTTACGTAGCGTGGACCGTGGAATGCCGTAGACGGCTGCTGCGCGTCGTGTACCCAATCGACCCGACTGGATATCCCGTATAGCTGATTGAAGTTCATCATCAGTATATGTCCGTCTGGTTACGCTATTACTTGCACTTTCTATTGCTGCACGTTTTAACCTGAAACAAAATAAAATTTATTACTAACCGATAATAAATAATATAATACTACCATAATATTATAAAAAGGAAATATTTGTATTTTTGTGTGTATGTATGTTTGTAATGAATAAACTTAAAAACTACTTTGCCGATTTCAAAAATTCTTTTACTATTAGAAAGCTACATTCACCCTGAGTAATATAGGCTATATTTATTGCTAGAAAACATTAGGAATCCTTACTAAAACTTTAGTAACGTAACTCAAGATGTAAAAAATGCTATAAAATATCTTTCGTCGCATGCGCTTCGGAAACTATTAGCGATAGAACAAAAGTATGTTCTACAATATTCAAGAAAATATCAATAACTACAGAAAACTTTGCGATACTATAGATCTAACTATTATCGTTATGTCACAATAACAACTTTTTAAAATGTTGTAAAAATGTCCACCCGTGCGAAGCCGGGTCGGGCCGCTAGTATTTATATAAGAAGAAAATAATGATTGTTAGTAGATATAAAATGTATTATTTCACAGCTGTATCGTATTAATTAATTTCTTTTGTATTTAAATTTTGGGGCAATATAAATAAAATATACTCAAAAATATATAGCCAATAAAGCTATAACATTTAATAAAATTAATATAAAGGTAATAATTCTTAAAGCAATAATCAAACAATATTCATGGTATATAGAAATAATTAAATAATCTTGAGATTTTAAACAGGAAAAAGTAAACTCGATATCGTAATTTTGTGTTATCGGGGTTAATTCAATAGTCTCCACCCATAAAACATGATGTCAGCTGGTCAACAACCTACAATCATTTACCAACTAAATGCAACATTTCGAAATCGTATTAATACCAGATAAGTAATGCGAAATATTTACTGACTCGCGATAACGGACTGCCATGAATGCATCTTTATCTTTCCCTTCTACCTTTTATTTTCCAAAATATCATCAACCGAATTCCTACTTCAGTCCGTAACGTTAAAGCTAAGAATCGTCTGACGAACTTTTACGTCTTCAGTTTCATCTTGGTCTAGCTTTCTTATTTTTCGATATAATTCGCGTAGCATTTTGCACTTTATAATGCTCATTATAGATTGCATTTCGGTTTGATGCAGCTCTCGTGTGTGCCGAGGATGCAAGGTCGATGCACTGAGACTATCGTAGCATTTTTATTTGTTTTGGCGAGTCATGCGACCCAGATCGCGGACCCAACGAATGAATTTATTCAGTTATCGATTGAGTATTGTGTATAATATCGATGTTAAAACCGAGATATCAGCTATAAACATCTCTTGTGCAATGGAGCATATCGATTTTGTGACCATTATCGTGTTTGATAAGTTTTATATTCTTCAAAACATAGGAATTTAATATTTTGTTGCAAATTTTATACCGCGGTTCACAACGTTTTATTGCTTAAGTTAGTGGTTTGAGTATAGAAATAAAACAACATTAAAAATCACCAAAAGATAAACCGACAAATGTTGTTTTGCCTCCTATTACCACCTACCAGGTCCATTTTTGCTTATCGGAATAAAAAATATTGTGTCTCTCTGTACAATGTAATTGTAGTCCTGTTATCCTATTATTATTATAAATGCAAAAGTTTGTAATGATGGATAGATGGATGAATGTTTGTTACTTTTTCATACAAAAATTATTGATCGGAATTGAATGGAATTTGGTACACCGTACATTATAGTAAGTTATATCCTAATTTAACACATAGGATATTTTATATATTGATTCACTCGGGTGTAACCGCAGGATACAGTTAGTCTTAGATTATATTAAATTACAAATACCATATATTTATAAAATTTCATTAAAATCTGTTGATCGCTTTTGGAGATAAGCGTGAACGATCATCGTTATACGAGATTTTTATATATTACGATAACTGAGTACATTTGTAAATCATAATTAATCTCTGTAGTTGATTTGGATTGGTGTTAACAATTTTTAAGCAATTTCTTTTACTTGATGTCATCAAACGTCGAATTTATTTTAATAAATCTTTCAGAAATCGATAGAACTTATCTGTTAATTTCATATTACATATTATCACGTTTGTAGCTGCGGTTTTTTTGAGGAGCTATATCCTAAAAAATACTTAGGAATTTCAGGTTGCCGTCTCAATACAGGTGCAATTCCAAAAAGTCTTCGATGATTTTCCATTAAATAAATCGAAAAACTCAAATATATTGTAAGGAGTCAATCGATGCAGATGGTTTAGGATTTTTCTATATAACAGTCTACAGAGACGGTTCATATTCAACAGTTGATAATTAACGCCTAAAAATATGATGGAGTGTTTAGTTAGATTAGACCAGGCTGCAAGAAAAATATTTGTAATAAAATATTATTAAAAAAAATTATATATCAAAACAGTAGTATCAGGAACGAAGCCTAGCGAAGTATAAATTCTATTTTAAGTGCGAAATTTCATCAGGCCAATGAATCAATGTAAACGGCACATTGTACACACAGTCCGATAAACTTTTCTTTAGCAATGTTATTCGTCATAAAATACCGGAGCATTGACACTGCGCTCAGATATAGGTTCCTTGACTTTGGCGCACATGTAGCTACATACAAGTACATACAGTAATTTTATATTATTACGGCTTATCGACAATTATAAAGACTGATTGTGTTTATACTTAATGGAAATACCAAGCAGAAGGTCTCTAATTAAAAATGGCAATCGCCACATAACTCTATTCAATACTATCTAACCAAATATGTAAATGCTGCCAATGTATGTATCACTTTTAAGAGTTGAGATATTATGCTTCTTGATTCCTCTGGATTTGACTGCATTACGTCTCTTTGATTTCAAATGCAATGATTAATTTATTCTTCTGGTTATATTACAAGTATTTAACTAGTTGATTGGTTAAAAATATTATTTTTAATTCCACTACCATTACGAGTGCATACATTTGCGAAATTTAACAAAATAATTTTAATCAATTAACTAGTGGTATTGACTTCCGCATAACATCTAGTCCAGTAAAATAAATTATTTAATTTGTTTTGGATTATGTGGCCTTTATTTCGTTGTTTGGTCATAATAATAAATGACATCGCTGTGTAGTACCTACTTTCTTTTGTGAACAAGGATTATTAATTGATTTAGAAGCTACTAAACAAAATTTACTTTTCTTTCCTCTATACCCTGTATTTTGGTGGCGGTAATTTGGTGGTCAACTTTATATGCAATAACGCGTGAATTACCTACATCTAGCAAGCAGCTTACCTATTATTGAATTTGCAAGATAGTCATTCCTTAATCTTACGGTTTGACTTTTAATAAGACCGGATGGTGTTTTATTTTTAGAATGTGGCTTTCAATGTAAGAGTAATATGATAGTTAATAACTGCTTAGTTCAAATAAACGGTTTGTTCGTAACTTTTCTGGATATTTTTTTTATAATGTTTGAATTATTTAAATCAATATTTATATTTGGACTTTCAGTTACTTTGTAAATTAATGACCTAAAAACGTTATAACTGTGGCTGTAAGTAAAAAAAAAATTAAACTGTATTCCTGCTTTTGGAGCTTAAGTGCATTTGCTTTTCCGGTAACAATATACATCGTAACAAAGTAGTAAGATTTACATAATTATGACATTTATGTATCAACAGTTCGTGTAGTTGGTCATATTTATTCCATCAAACAGATTATACTTGAATGTTTTTAAAAAAATATACAAAATATCATGTTAACACCGTTTTACAAAGTACATATTTTAGTTTTTCTGCCTGCCTTTGTTCTGTCTACAAGGTTTGTATTCATTAATTAAATATGCACACAGGAAAATGTACATTTTCATTAGCATTTTTACGACTAAATTATCTATCAATTTGATTAGATAATGCGATTACAGGATATATAAATAGTTACTACTGATTTAAAACTTAATTTTAGCATGTAAATGTTTTAAATAAACATGTAATATTTATTAAACTACCTTTATTCATAATTTTATTAATAAGAGAACATGATATGTATTTTTGATATTAATGATAATTATTTAAATTTTGAATTGAATTGACTCTAAATTGTAACGTATTTTTTGCAACTTGAAATAGAAAATAAGCAAATGGCTTATCTGATGAAAAGTAGTAGTTATTGTTTATAAACACCCAATACATAAGAACACCCATGGCACTCTCTCAAGTATTACTATTTCTGAGGACTAAAGAGTTAAGCCTCCGTACTGCGTAATGTTACTATGCTGCTTTTGCAGGTCTTGTTTCAGTTAAAAGGTTCGAATCTGAATCATGAGTATGCAAGTACTTTTATTTGGCAGTAGAAACACCAGTGGAAGGAGATACCTAAGCAGATCTTTTGAACAGTCTTTCTGTGGTATGTTAGAATAATTCAAACGATCACATCGATGAATCATATACGAACCAAATTATATTTCATTGCTTGCATTTTGGGATCTTATTTTAAAGCTCTGAACTTTGAAATTCATGTTTAAATTGTCAGGAAAATACTTGTCAATTGCTTTAGGTATGTAAACCATCGTTCGATAAGCCACGTCAAAGATTACGTGTAACAATGAAGGTGGCATATTACTTAAAAAAAATATGAAATAAGAACAACCTAGTACACTTGTAATACCAGAAATACTGGTTTAACCAGAAGAATGAAGTAAAACCGCGAAAACCAAGCAGAGATACAATTACTTTTACATTAATGATGTTAGTATGATGTGATAGAAAAATATTTTGAATGTAAATCCTTTGTAGCTAACTTCAATTTGTGTTCCGTTATATTTTAGTATCTAAAATTACTGCTATGAGAGCGTGAGAGTTACGTCTTATTTTCCGCTTGACTTAGCATCGTTTCTAACTTCCAGGGAATTTTGAAGAATTTTGTATTGACTATTACTGATCGTGTGGGAAAATAGATGTCTGAGAACTCTTCACTTTATCGTACTTTATAGGAAATCATGTTACACCGTATGATGCAGTCTGAATATAAACAATTTTAATTGATCAGCATAATGTATCTGGATTGTATTACAGTACGTGGCGAAATAGTTCACGTTATCCATTATGGCGTCAACTGTCAAAAGTTCAACGAACCCGAGTCAATCGTTCAGTTTTGTTTTCATGGTTTAATGGGTGCATTTACACTGCTATTGTTTTTGTAACCCGAGTCCTCGTCTAATAGGAAGTTGGATTGTATGCGCGCACCCGTTTCTAATGTTCGATGGCTTGGGCTATATGACCACTGCAGGTGACCATAGAAAATCGTTAATGGGTGTTTTCCTTTTCCTCAATTTTATATTTTAACTTCGTACATTCTGGTTACCAGTATTATATTCGCGTTATTTCACACGCTTGACTACATTCCTGGTATTAGGGCTGCAACATTTCTTGATATAAAACAATACTGCCAGTTCAATGTTTACATTTATTTTATTTTATTCTCTTTAATTTTATAGATTAATATCTATAAAATTAAAGATTTATATAAAACATCTGAGAACGTCACTTTTGAATATATTATTAGAGAGCAGTGGATGTGTGATGAGGTGATAAATGATGAAGACACGGATTTTAGCAGAAAAAATATATTGTATGCCGAATGTAAAAAAAGAAATACTAACTTGAAATTATAAATTAAAAGATACTAAAAGTAAATCTATATAAAACATTATGTATTAAAATGTAAGGAGTTTGCATCGGCCGGACGCCAACACCTGGTAACCATGGGTATCATGACATGTATCATAACTGCGCACATTGCAAATCTGAAGCTCTTCTTCGTCAGCGCTTTGTACTTTGAGAAATGGCAAGTCTATTTCTATCGTTTATATCTATCTATATACCAATATGTTATTGCTGTTGCTAGCGACTCGGCTAGCCAGCCTTTTTATACATTTAGATTTTGTATTCAATTTAATATTTTTTTCATATTTCTTTCAACATGTTTTAAAAAATTATACCATTTACCAAGATAACGATTGTTTCCCAGTCACAAACACTAGACAACACGAGAGGAAATAAAACAACAACGTCAGGTTTTTTGTTGGGTTTGTTAGTATGTTAACAACAATATAATGTTTGATATATCTCATTCCATACCTACATATATAATATATTCATTAAACAAGCCTATACTAATTAAGATAGGATAGGTAATTGCCTAACAAAGATTAGTCAGTAATACAAATACCTTGGTTCTATTAGTAGAGGATTATTGTAGATTAGTATAACGTAATGAGCTTATTAGTACAACCAAATTGTAAATAGTGCTTATTAGGTATATCATGATCTGCATATAGAAAATTCATCTCTATAACATGTTACCGTACAGTGTTGAATTTACGATGATTTAAATTCCAAACATATTCCAATAACCAATTAGTGCTTTTAATTTTTGGTGTGACCCGTATTCTAACCTGATATTGGACTGAAAATCTAATCATTTATTATCTCTTAAATAAATTTATTCGTTCCTTGATTTTTTCCCTTATGTTTTCATTGTCATTCGTTCATTCATTATATTCATTCATTTATTGATAAGTTGTTGTTACGAAAAACGTTGTTTCTATTTCTCGTTTTATTTCAAAGACATTAGTCTCTTGTTTTAGGGTTAATTTTTTTTTATTGCAACTTCGAATGGCAAACAAGCTGACGGTCCACCTGATGGAGAGCGGTAACCGTCGCTTATAGATATGAACAGTACCATGAACATAACAGAGTACTCGTATACTGTTTTGTCCATGATACTCTCTATGCGTTGCCATTCCTAAAGAGTAAGATGTTATGCCTTTATACTCTATAAATTCACTGCCATATCCCTTCCTTCAAACCAAAACACATCAATTAAATACATAGGTATAATGTGTTAGATATTTATTACTTGTAAATTTAATACATAATATTGGTATTTTATTAATATGTATATATAAGTATAGCAATGTTGGCATAATGATCATATAAAAGAGCGATAATTCGCTAAAATTATTGATTTAAACAAATTCGGAATTCTGTAGAAAAACAATTCCATAGGAACTATAAAGATAATGAATTAACAGTTCATCAAAATATAAAATTAAATATAAGTATAGTGTATCTCAGTTCTGAGAAATGATAATGCATGAGGTAAGTAACATCACAGTGTATTAAGTGATGCACATAACGTGATTTATGTTGTGGTTAGATAATTTTTTTACCGTTGCAAGTTGCATAAAAATATGCTTACCTATTATCCAGTATCTTGGAGTCAGGGGGCGGCGTACCGCTAGTGCTGGATGTGGACTTTGCACTGAGATCCAGCGGCTGTTCCAGTAGAGTCGGAGATGATGGCGTCGGCGCTTTGTCTCCCACATCAGGTAGCCTGTGGAGGATATATATTTAATTATTATAGAACTAAACATACGGATAATTTAAAATTTGTACTGATTTTACGATTCTATAGTAAACGTAAATTATGTACGTCTTAACAAATAAGTAAAAACCATACCAATGTTATAAATGTGAAGGAATTAAACAATCGCTATGAAGTTTAGTATACACGCACTATATGGGATAGAAAAGGATATAGGCTACTTTTTATCTCGGTTAGCAAACATATCACTGTCATGCGGACGAAGTCGCAGTTAAGAACTAGTATTTTAAATATTGTAATTTCTGATTAGTGTATTATCAGAATGTACTCTTAGGATTATCATTTATGTTACTATACTGTGTTCCTATGTATTTTAAATATTGTAATTTCTGATTAGTGTATTATCAGAATGTACTCTTAGGATTATCATTTATGTTACTATACTGTGTTCCTATGTTAATAGTTATTATGAACGTCTGGTTAGGGTCACTACTATGGATTATATAGGTGTGAAATAAAAGCTCTTTCAAAGATTATTTAAACAACTAAATCTAATTAATTAATTTTAAACTTACGCGTTGTTTACACATATTTTAAATGCACAATCAGGACTCAACGCGATTAAAAACTTTTGCAGGTAAATAGTATCTACATACTCGCTTCTTTATTGCCTTATATTATTTACCTATAAAGGTTTTTCATCGCGTTAAATCCCAATTATGTATTTAAAATAAATGTAATTGATGACACTTAATACGTATTGTGTAAATTATTTTTATCTTTTTACTATATCAGTGTAGAAACCCATTTCGTACAAAATATGATACGAGTAATAAAGGACTAAGCAAATGTATGTATTCAAACACTACTGAAGTGCATGAATTTAACATTATTCCCGTATTTTACTTTTTTTTCAATTTACAGTAATAAAATATATATTAATTACCTTGTTAAATATATAATGTCACAAATACAATCGTAAAGTTGTCCCATATTCAAAACACGAGTATTAAATAAAAATACACACACACAATTTTGCCGCATGTTATTACGGTCTTACTGCTTGATTTATTATGAAATTTCCAAAAGCAACATTACTTTTAATGGTTATAATGAGGTCGATTCTTCGTCGATTTTGTTTTAATGTAATTCTTACTTTTAAATATTATTAACCAGAGGTCTTGTGCGTGCCTGTTTTTGCTAGTATTGTAACTTATAGGTAGTTAATATAATATTTGGTAGCAAAATAGCCTAAAGAGTTGTTAGGGATTATAATAAGCTAGATCAAATGTAACAACTAAAACTCCAAAACTTATTAAAAATAAAACGAAGGCGTTTCCTTCGTCGTTTCTTTCGTCGACTAAAACATATAATAAACAAAAAGAAAAAAGTTAATATACGAAATTTAAAAACATTGAAAAAAATTGTTGTAAACCAGAGATTGATGATACATCCGTGTGCCAAATTTAATTAAAATGCAATTCTATAAGCGTGATTGGGTATAAAAATATTAAATAAATGATCCAAATAAATCTAAATGAAAATAAAAGTATTTGAGCATTTTATTTTCAAAATAGTTTTCTTATAGTTTTGGTTAAAATAACAGAATAGTCCTCATTTATAGTTGTACAAATAATGTTGTTTTATCAGCTTTTCTTACGAATCATCGGTGATTAATATGTACTTTGGTGTTTGTACGACCTTAACCTCAATGAACTTCGTGACTTTGCTGAATAATATGACGAATTATTATATTTTTTTTAATTATTATAGGTATGCTATAAATTCAGGTCGATAATTGTAAATAGCTAATTTTCGTACGTGCCTTTGTGTACGTTTATTTATGACTATTATATTGAATTTTAAGCTATGTCTAATGAATTGCTTTTTCTCTTCAAAAACTGGTGTAATCGCGACTGCATTATCGGTAGTTGAAGCTAGAAATCGTCATTAAGTTTTTAATAATCTATTATATTATCAATACAATTAAAAAAGCCAGAGTAGCTTTTCTTAGTGTAGTTGTTTTATAAAAATTAAGAGAGACCTAAATGCCCGTCCTTTTTTTTTTCATTAAATCATTACAAAAAATACGGTTAACGAAATTCAAAAGAAATTTAATAGTTCAGTAGATATTAACCCAATTTAAAATACATTTCGCACAAATAAATTGTAAGAATCTTTTAATTTTCTTATAAGTTAATAAATAACTAATTGATCGCATTTACAAAAAATACCCTCTAGGTTATACTAATGTTAAAGATTCATGCCTGGGGTAAAATGCGGGTAAAAACCTGAACAAAGATATTGGATAAGCAAGATAGAGAGTGAAAGAATTAAGTAATTAAATGCTAGCAGGGTAATAAAAGAGTCTTCACATATTTTTTTTTATTAAACTACTAAAATAATTCTAGTTAAAATGTATAAAAAAGCAAAGTCGGGAGTTGTATTTAGTTTTATAATATAATATACAATGACTACGATTAAGAATATTTACTTACGTGTAATGTCTGTTTCGGTGTTATTGATTTAACCTAGACTTAGGACAAATTGTATACCAATTGTTTTTGGCTCGTACTTTTGTCCTTGCGCTGGTCTTATTATTAAAAAATATATATTAAAAAAATATTGAATTTTAACAAAATTGTATATATTATAAGCATAATAATAAGCAAATACATATATTTAATTTACGTTAGATTAAGGTGGATTTACAATAAAAAAGAAATAGCAAAGCCTAAGAGAAAAAAGTAGAGATTATAGAGCTCTTTGCCTAAACGGGAATGAAACTTGGTTCTCGTGTAAGTGAAATAAAATATCGCCTGAGGTCGCCTGTATAATTAATAGTGTCCAACCGAAACTACATTTCGTGACTGAAACTAAATTTCTGGTGTTGTTTCAGTTTCGGAGTTTTAGTGAGTTTTACTATATACTTTAAAACTACACAGTTATTTGCATATTGCATATCGCGTAGTTCTAATGTAGGTAATGCTTTTTCACAATTAAAGAAACTAGAGGAACTTATTTATAATAAGTTTACTATTGTTATCTTTTCAGTCTTTTCAATCAATTAATTTAAATTTATTATAGAGTCAGTGAATCTAGTTGTGCTGTAGAAGGTAGATGTCTAAGTAAATATTGTACGTAGAAATCAAGGTAAGTGTGTCGAGATTGGAGTGGCTTTACTTCAAAAGATTTCATTCGCTACAAATCGTATGGGAAGTAATTTGAATTTATTAATTTATAATAATTAAAAAGTATTGTCTCCTTGTTCTATTTTTTTTTTGTTTGAAAATATTAAGAACTAGATGCCCGTCCTGCTTTACAAAATTTTACCTTATTTACTAAATTTTCCACTTTCCGGTACGATTTTTCAAACGGTCTCATTCATACGAACCTTGTTCTGACAATTAGAAACATAACGAGCATGATATCTATCTATATTAGAAGGGAAAGCATAAAATATCAAAGTAAGTGTTCCCATTCTGAAGTGATGAGCTTATATTAGGCAATTGATTTTTATTTATATAGACGTTTGCAAAACAGCTAATTTTGTTTTTGAGAATTTTTTATAACAAATACTGATTAAAAGTAAAAAATTAAGTTTATTTATTAAAAATAAAACAGCAAAATAAAAATTAGGTTAATATAATGTTTTTATTTAAATAATCAAACTCAAACAAAAATCAAACAAACGTTTGATTATTTTTTATTAATAGATACCTATAATTGGTTAAGTATATAGGCTGTATTTACTTAACCGAAATTCATCAAATTAAATCACAAATAGTCAAACTTATTGTTACACCAATTTATTAAGTGCTTTATTAGTATTATTTATTTAATGGATTTAGTCATAATGAACTTTTCTCAGTATAAACCACTGAAAACATGTGTTTACTAACTTTACAGCTATTTGAAATGTATTATTATGTTAATATCGATGTGCAGTCTCCATCTATACTCCGCGCCATTTAATGAATAGGAAACATTGTCAAACTGTTCAGGTGAGTGGTGCTATTCGAACGATACGATATTGTAACGTATTCATTACGATAGCGATCTATTGCGGTTTTATTATTTTTCTATTCTAATGGGCAATGAGCTGATATTTCACTTTATGGCAACAGATATGTAATCATCGCTTAAATTTTGTCATAATCATATAGAATTCTCGTGATCTGTTACAGATTGAAACATGTAAACATCAATAGGATAATAATAAATGAACTAGTAAATTTAATATTTATTGAAAAATATATGACTTTATCTGCTCTTACGGTTTTGCAACAAAATATTAAGTTTATAAATAAGTAAATTAATAGCACTTAACTGCTATTAATTGCTAACAAAATTTCATGATATATTAAGCGATATTTCTGTCAATTTTGAACTGATCATCATCATCATTATCATCTCAGCCATTGTCCATCTACTGCTGAACATAGAACTCACTTATAGACTGCCATAAGGAACGGTCCTGAGCCACCTCCAACCACTGGCTCCCTGCAATGCACTTCAGGTCGTCACTCTATTTACTGGAAAGTCGTTCTACGCTTAGTTTGCTCGTAAGGAGTCACCACTCAAGAAGCTTTCTTCATTGTTAAATATTAAAGGTTATTCGAGCTAAGTGACTGATATGGATAATTATTTTTACCGTGTCTTATACCAATTTCTCACGATTGAATTATATTTTATTCGTGGAGCGAAGCTTACTTACTGAGTGGTAGAATTTTAGTGTATGTATTCATTGATATATTGAATTATTAACTAATTTATAATCGGATTAATTCAAGCACAATGCGCCGAAATAGTTACACACATGTCCAGTTCAAATACTATAAACTATATAATTCACACAAAAGAACCAGTTGTGGATAACATTTATACCGTTTTGTATTATCGTTCCAATATCGTTTCTGTATCGTTCACAACTCAACTGACAGAGAGGCGTTCATACGAAAAGCGTCTGTTCCCATTCATACTCGACCGTGGCGGCCCAACAAAAGCAC